AGGAGACAAATGGCAATGGTGACACTAATAAGGTACACTTTATTACTCCAACTGATAATGTCTCTAGAGGTCAGAATTCTAAGAATAATGCATACTTGAGACCTAGAGGAAAAAATATGAAAAATAAGAATAGACCACATTATCAATATAAAGGACTTAGAAAGAACCAAGAAACCCTTTCTACGAATAATAAAACTCTTAGGGGTCCATGTTTTGTATGTGGAAAACCTGGCCACCAAGCCAAGGATTGTTATTTTAGAAAACGTGGACCACCTAAAAAGCATGGTGATAAACCTCAAGCTCATGTAGCTGAAGAGCCTTTAGTGGCTATGATAACTGAGGTGAACATGCTAGAGAATCATGAAGGGTGGTGGGCAGATTCAGGTGCTTCTAGGCACATTTGCCATGATAAAGATTGGTTCAAAAGCTACACTCATGCTGAAGAAGGTAAAATGGTCCTACTTGGTGACTCACATACCACTAAGGTGGTGGGTGTTGGTGATGTGGATCTAAAATTCACCTCTGGTCGTATTTTAACTTTGAAAGATGTTCTTCATACTCCTCAAATCAGAAAGAACTTGGTTTCAAGCTATCTTCTCAACAAAGCTGGGTTCAAGCAAATTATAGATTCTGATCAATATGTAATTACAAAAAATAATGCATTTGTTGGAAAAGGTTATGCATATGATGGTATGTTCAAATTGAATGTTGAAATGAATAAAATATCTCCTAGTTCTGTTTATATTGCTTCTAGTACTAATTTATGGCATGCTCGACTTTGTCATGTTAATTCTAAATACTTAAAGAATATGAGTTATATTGGATTGTTACCTAAGCTTCAAAATGATTTTGAAAAATGTGAGTATTGTAGCTTGACAAAAATCACAAAACAGCCACATGTAAAAGTAGAAAGGAGTAGTGATTTACTTGAATTAATACATACTGATATTTGTGAATTTGAAGGCACTCTTACACGTGGTGGCAAAAGATATTTTATAACCTTTATAGATGATTTTTCTCGATATACTTATGTATATCTTATGAAACATAAAAGTGAAACACATGAAAAACTTGTAACATATGTACAAGAAATTGAAAATCGTTTTGACAAGAAAATTAAAAAGTTTAGAAGCGATAGAGGAAAAGAATATGAAACTTTGGGACTAATTGATTACATTAAATCTTTAGGAATTGTTCATGAAACTACTCCGCCTTATTCACCTGCATCTAATGGTGTAGCAGAACGTAAAAATAGAACCATAATAAATTTAACAAATGCAATAATGGTGAATGCAAGTGCACCAAAGAATTTTTGGGGAGAAGCAATTTTGACAGCTAATTACATAATGAATAGAGTGCCTAGAAAACAAACTCTTTTAACACCTTATGAGTTATGGAATAACAGGAAACCAAATTTAAACTATTTTCGTGTGTGGGGTTGTTTGGCATTTGTTAGATTAGCCGATCCAAAAATTCCTAAATTAGGAGTTAGAGCTAGAAAGTGTGCATTTGTTGGATATGCCTTAACCAGTAAAGCTTATAGATTTTATGACATAGAAAGTAACATTATAATAGAATCTCTTGACACAATTTTTCATGAAGATAAATTTCCATTTAAATTAAGAAATAGTGGGGGTGAAAAGGAAAAAATAATAAATGAAACTAGCTCTACACTTTTGAAAAATTTTGAAACAAATGAAAATTTGAGAAGAAGTAAAAGAGCTAGAGTAGAAAAGGACTTTGGACCAGATTATTTAGTTTACTCTGTAGATGGTGATCCAAAAACTATAGAAGAAGCCTTAAACTCACCTGATTCTATTTTTTGGAAAGAAGCTATAAATGAAGAGATGGAATCCTTATTGTCAAATAAAACTTGGAAGTTAGTTGATTTGCCTATTGGTTGTAAAACTATTGGATGCAAATGGGTACTTAGGAGAAAATTAAAACCAGATGGCACAATAGATAAATATAAAGCTAGACTTGTAGCTAAAGGCTTTAAGCAAAAAGAAAATGTAGACTTTTTTGATACATATTCACCAGTAACAAGAGTTACATCAATAAGATTGCTTATAGCTATTGCTGCCATTCATAATCTTAAAATTCATCAAATGGATGTAAAAACAGCTTTTTTGAATGGAGATTTAGAAGAAGAAATATATATGGATCAACCACAAGGTTTTGTACAACCTGGTCATGAAAACAAAGTGTGTAAGTTAACAAAATCTTTATATGGTTTGAAACAAGCTCCTAAGCAGTGGCACGAAAAATTTGATAAGAGCATGATATCAAATAATTTTAAAATAAATGAAAGTGATAAATGTATTTACTATAAATCTATTGAAGATACTCATGTTATCTTATGCTTGTATGTTGATGACCTTTTAATTTTTGGGACTAATTTGAATATTATTGAAAATACCAAGGGGTTACTAAAAAATAATTTTGATATGAAAGATTTGGGTGAAACCAATGTAATACTTGGAATGAAAATTACTAGAAGCCCTAGAGGAATTATGTTAGATCAAGCACATTATATTGAAAAAATACTTAAAAAATATAAGTATTATGATTGTAAACCAGTTTCCTCTCCTTTTGATTCTAGTGTGCATTTATATCCAACTGAGAATGATGCATTTGTGTTAAATCAGCATGAATATGCAAGTATAATTGGAAGTTTGAGATATGCCACTGATTGTACTCGACCAGCTATTGCTTATGCTGTAAATATTTTGAGTAGATTTACAAGTAAACCTAGTTATGATCATTGGAATGCTATTACTCGTGTTATGAAATATCTTAAAGGTACTATAAATTATGGTTTACTTTATAAAAATTACCCTGCTGTTCTAGAAGGGTTTAGTGATGCAGATTGGAATTCTCAATCTGGTGACTCATTATCTACCACTGGCTATATTTTTATTTTGGGTGGTGCAGCTGTGTGTTGGAGATCTAAAAAACAACACATTATTGCTAAATCTACTATGGAAGCAGAGCTTATAGCTTTAGCTTCTGCCGGTGAAGAGGCCAGTTGGTTAAGAGATTTATTATCTGAAATTCCCGTTTGGGATAAACCGGTACCACCTATACTTTTACATTGTGATAGTACTGCTGCAATTGGTAGAGTACATAACATATATTACAATGGAAAATCCAGAGCTATTAGAAGAAAATACAGTACTGTGAGATCATATTTATGTGATGGTGTTATAAATATAGACCATGTGAGATCAAAAGAAAATCTCGCTGATCCATTAACGAAAGCTCTAGCTAGAGAACAAATTTCTCAAACATCAAAGGGAATGGGACTTGAGCCTAAAAATTTTTAAATTGGAATCATCTATGAGGATACAACTACCAAGGGATTGGAGATCCCAAGAACTAGGTCAGGGATAAACGAATCATAGAATGGTTTGGGTGAAAAGCATGCGTATATTAAATCCCTTCCCATGGTGTAAAGCATGCTCGTGGTTCTATGACGAAGAAAAGGTTAAGATTTGATATAAATCTTTTAATGAGTTCTATAGCCCTTTATGGGTGGGATGCCTTAGTCATAGGGGCATTCTTGATAGACTCACCTATATGAGTGTGGAAGTAAAGGCCGCTTCCTATGAGAATTTGGCTAATTTTCTAAAGCATTCATGAATTTGGGATAAAGCACAAGGCCGTAATGTGCTGGCTTAAGAAGCATATTAATTAATATCTTGAATATCATGTGTGTGACATAATCTTACATATCTTAAAGTAGTCTTAGTTTCAAGGCTTTAGTCCACTTTGACTCTAATATGAGGATTATGGAAACACTAAATGAAGGTTTCAAGGCAATGTCACTTTCACTATGCATGATATTCTCACTTTGCCCAAATTTCCTTTATCTCTTTCAGATTTTATTAAAATAAGTGGGGGAATGTTGGTGTATTTTAATAAAATCTTAATTTTTAGATAAATCTTTTCAAGGAGTTACAATAGTATTCATTGGTGAGTTATGTAAATTGTTATTGTGGGAGTTACATTGCATTTTGAATGGAGTTATAATTGTGAGTTACTTTTTTGAATAAGAGTTACAAAACAATTATTTGGTATTGTGGGAGTTACAAAAGAATTTTGAATAAGACATTATGTATTATTGTGGGGGTTACAAAAGAATTATTTGAATAAGTCTTTATAACCCATTCAAATGTGAATTAACTCTTTAGGTTACTAATTCTACCTATTAACTACATTTTAATATGAAAAACTGTTACACATTAGTTTTTCTTTTACTTAAGATTTTGTAGCCTATAAATAGTGGAGTTCTCAAAAGGTTTTGATACACTTCTTCTCACAACAAAAAATCACTCTAAAATACTATCCTCCTCACATTTATTTCTTTCTCCTTCATTTTGTTTTCTTTGGGCAAAGAAGGATATTGGGAAGTTTCTGCTTCTCTTGGTTGTGCAGATCAAAGAGAAGTAACAACTATAGAGTTGGGCTGTTGTATCCTGGAGGCGGCGCGCTAGACCTTCTGCATCGGTTTGAAAAGCACCGTAGGGGCGCGTATCGTCTTAAAGAGAGCGTTCTACGCGCCTCAGCCCTACCGAACTTCTTAGTAGCTGTCAATTCCAAGGTGGTTATTTTTTGAAGATCAGAGATTGTTCGTGTACTCTCCTCCAACAAAGCTGGTGGTGGATGATTGCATGGCTGTGATTTACTTACTCACGAGCTGATTTTTTACCATAGTATCCCTGATTTTCGTTTCTGCCCTTCGATGCAAAATGGTTAGACCATAAGAATTAAGAAGCATTGGCTTCTTCGTCATGTCATCAGCATGCCTGAATGACCATTCTATCTGTTTATATCTCTACGATTTAAAAATATACATATATTAATGGAGCGGTGCGGTGCGGTGGTGCTCTGTTGTTAGACCCGTTCTGCTTTTCCTAATCTTAGCTTGGATTCCTACGTGGCACTTTGCACCGATAATGCTGGTATAAAAGTAAGCGGTGGTGCTTTGTTGTCAGGCTGATTCAGCTCCTTTTGATCATGGCTCGGATCCCACATCCTACATTCCATTTCACCGATAATCCTAGTAGTATAAAGGAGATGGCTGTTGCACATTTGCTGCTTAGCTTCACTGTTATTGCTGTAGTTCTGTTGATTGAAGCTGCAGTCACCTGCTTTGCGACTGAAACTGTTCTGTCCTTGGTCAGTGTTGCAAGTACTTCCTTTTGTTGACAAATTCCTCTGTTTTTTTTGGTCTTCTTTTGCGAACTAAAACAATACAAAGCGAAAGGAACCTGCAAGCAGCAAAAATCCACCAAAGCATGCAAAACTAGGGTAAATGCCCTCATCATTTATCGAACTTCTTTTGAATTGTCCCCAGTAGTTGAATAGACAAGAAAGTTATAGAGTTTGAATTAAATGAGTCAGATAAAATCAATGGGTCATGAAAGGGGCTTTGTTTAGCGAGTTGTATATTACCTTGCCAATGTCCAGTTGATATAACCTTGGTACTTTGTAGTCAATTTGAGTCAGTATGCGAATGCAGAACCTGATTTGGATCCGAGTTGGTCAGAACATTGTTGGAAATTACTGTAGTTAAACCAGTTACAGGCAGCGCAATAATCATTTGTATTTCATTTCTCAGGTTTTCAAGTTTGGAGCCGGATTGTCTGTCACCCAGTTGACGGCCCAAATCTATCGCAAGATATCTGTTTGATTTGAGCCATCCATTTAAAATTTGCAAGGAACGACTCAATTTATTTTTTTGGATACCAGTGTTCTGATTTGATAATGTGATATTCATATTTTCAAGTATCTCCAGCGGATAGCTTAGTTGAAGAACATTTCATAAAAAATTGTCATCAAAAGGACAAAAGAAAATCATGTTGTCAAATGAGCTTGTCCTCAGACATAATTTCATTGTATTGTTGCAGAATTGGTGATCTTAACTGTTTCAACGAAGGGCTTTGATTCTCCAGAAGCACGATGCTTGAGATAATCTCTTAAGCAGCAGCCCCTATATTGTTCAGGATGGTCTTCGTTCACAAGTTTCATAGCAGGCTCAAGGATCTCATCCATTTCCAAACTCTGGAAACTGGCTATAGAAAGTCTAGTGTCATTCCCAGAAGTTCGGATTGCTCGATGCAAGACGGCTTTGTATTCACCATTGCTCAATACCTCCAAAAGATCTCCAACAAGGACTAGTAAAGCCCCTTTAATCACAGGAACAGATTTCCACTTCTTATCATTTTTGTCCATGACTTGAAGACCTAAAGAACTCTGCAGAAGAAGAGTGATGACGCTAAAATCTGAATGTTGGGATGCACCTATTATCTTCATGTTTGATCCAGAAATTGATGAATAGCTATTTATCGCAACCATTTGGACGCCTTTTTCAATTTCTGCTTTCAAATATGTTGCCTCCAAATCCAAGCTTTCCATGATAGCTCCGCATATCTGAATTGATAATTTCCTCATCTCCATTGTGCAGTTTCCCATTATTTCCCTGTTATAGAAGTACAACTATGACATCAATAATTATTTTTAGATGAAATTTGACTTGCCTTTTACTGCAATTCAAGATTTTTATACAGGTTCTGGCTGAAAGCTTAGTATATATTATCCCAAAAAACTTGCAGGTAAAAGAAATTCTATTCACAAAGATGACCATTTTAATGGCACAGACTCTACATTATTTATTTTCATCTTATTTACATACACTGACTTGCTTACATCATCAACATATTTTTCAATTATCTTTTTATCTCACATACATCACATTAAAAAAGTGCTACAGTATTTTTTCACAAAATTATCTCAATATTATCACAATCTGTTACGTTCCTATTCAGTTCATCCTTCATCAAGATAGTTTCTTTATTGACTGGTGAAAAATACAGTAAAACCCAAAGATTTACCTGTAATCAGGTGGACTTTTAGGCCATAGATCCACGAATTTTTCAAAAGGATGGGAATACAGCTTCAAATATTCCCACAAGATGCCGTGAGCTTCGCCTTGATTTGTACCGTATTTAACCGGTTTATACATGTCAGGAGAAAAGAATTCCTCCTTGATGTTCAGGGGCAAGTTAAAGAAGTTTTTGTTCACGGTCAAAGCTTCTTCTGCAATGGTCTCAGGTATGCCATGATTTATAACCTGATAATCGAACGAAAGCAAGCAAATTAAGGGGAAAAAAATGCTTCAATCATGCTAATACATATCCAAATACTATTACTATTTTGTACCAAAGTAGATTGAAAGCATGCAGTTCTGAGAAATTACAGCGAAGATACCAGCAGTTCTGCAAGATTCACGGATTTGATTGATGACAAGTGACCTAGTTTGATGATCTTTTTGCAGTAGGGAGAGGTCGATTATGGGCACTAGCATATTATAATCAGTAGATGAACCCATGCTGCAATGGGCACTAAGATGTAACTATGAGATTATGGGACTTTATAATAAGAAGTGGCAACACTTTCGTTAAGTGGCTTTATTCAAAGAAGGTTGATCTTGAAATGGATGGTGGGCCAAATAATTGAATTTTTTTTTTTTGGTTGTGAGCGTATGAATAGAGAATACGTTCTACCTATTTGAAATCAAGATCTAACTTGTTCAATTAAAATTTATCTAAGCCTATGTTAACAATTATATGGTTTTTAAATTTTTTTTTTTAGAGTTTTACAGTGTAACTTTTATTTTTCCTTTAGATCTGTAATATCCATTTTTTAAGTCTGTTTTTTGATATTTGTGTATATTTGATGATATAATTTCTATCATTAATGCAGATTTTAATAAAATTATGATGTTTTATCCAAACCAAAAAAAAAAAATTTATGATTTACACCCTCAAATCTTGCTGCTTAAACTCGGGGAGTTGTTAAATTGCAATATAACATATAATTTTCCGGGCTAAGCAAGCAGCAGCCATTGGTTAATGATTACCACGTCTAGCAGGCCAAACGAGTGAAATATTGCATATTAGTTTGTTCTTAATTCAGGATCAAGACTGCATCGATCATTAGTTCACTGCTCAGAGCCGGGAAATATGTATCATATTAAGTACGTTCATATAATAGATGATAGCACAAAGATGATTCGAGACTCCAGCTTAAGATAATAGAAGGTCCATTAGATCTGAAAAGGTTCTTGCCATTATTCTTGATGTTCACACTGTTGAGAATCAGACCAATATGTCTAATCTAAGTTTTAATCACTCAAGAAAACTTTCTTGACCCAAAGATCTAGTAGTTGTACCAAGATATAATATTGCCAGTGTGAAGTATTTAATACTGACAATACGTTAATTATTTAGCAGTCAATTCAGACTTATCGAGCAGCAGACCCTAACTTATCCAGCAGACCATTAGTACTAAGACATGGATTGGAGATGTGATCTAGAAATTAGTACTGAAGCAACCTGTGCGAAAAAACCCCATTTTCAAGAAATAAAAACATGGGGTTCTTGAGTGCTTGTAGATGGTCATCATTCATAAAGCTTATTTAGTTTGTGTATGAAAATATCCAGTGTATAATTTATTAAAATCGAAATTTAACAACTTAATGATCGGCCTATATTGGGTCCAAACCTAACTTTTTTCCAATCTGTCAATTACGTACACTTGTTCAACAGCAGCGAGCTAAGAGCCTAACAAGCATTCAGTCTCCGAACAAGAAACCTGACATTTTCTATTCTGTTCCGTGAGAGGAAGGATGATTAACGGATGACCCTTCACTATATAATTCAATTCTAAGGATACCATCTATGCATCTGAGATTCTACTTGATAGTAAAGAATTGAAACTCCAGAATTAATGGAAAAACATGAAAAGGTCGACAATGAAGTTCAAAACTGGAATCAAGCACGGCCTATGACCTTATACACTTCAATTTTGATCTATCCAGCATTTTATTTCTATCGAACTTGTATAGCAACACAAGCGAAGAAAATTAATTATAGTTCTTCATATTAAAACCATGTGAATTAGGTTCGCACTTTGAACCATAAGACTTGTCACACTCAGATTTTAAGTGCATCAATAGGACGATCTAATGCTCTAGAGAAGATAAGTTTGAGAAGTTCTTTTGAGCTGCATCCCCTGTACCTTTTCACCCCTTCTTCGTCAACCAATTTTTTAGCAGGCTCAACTATCTCATCAAATTCAAAACTATGAAAACTGGCAATAGACATCCTAGTTTTGTTGGTGCTGGGTACAATGACCTGATGCATTACACTCTTGTACATTCCATTGCTTAACACCTCCAGAAGATCTCCAACAAAGACTTGAAGGGAACCTTCAAGTTTAGGAGCATCTTTCCATGTTCCATCGAGGCTGTCCATGACTTGAAGACCTGGAGCAGTTTGCACTAGAATGGTGATGATGCCGAAATCGGTATGTGGGGGCGTACCTATTTTTATGTCCGATATTGACTTTGATGGATAGCTGTTTGTAGCAACAAGTTGCATCCCTTTCTCGAAATTTTCTTTGAGGTATGTTGCATCCAAGTTTAGGCTTTCCATGATGGCTACAAAAACTTGAATGGCCAGTTTCTTTATTTCAGCTGTGTACCTCCCCATCTTTTCCCTGGTGTAGTTTGTATTGATTTACAATCAAACACCACGGTAAATTGAGCTAGATTTTTTTTTTTTTTTGACAAATTAGCCAGATGACGATGAGATCACGGAGTGGGGACAACGAAATTCAGACCTTTATGTTGAAAGAAGAATGGTGGATACAACCAATCCAACATTTTTTTTCTCGGTCAATTAAAACTTCTCATATTTATAAAATTTAAATTGGATTCTACATACAAAAACCAGAGCTTTGGCTTTGGATACGTTGAATTTAAAAGGGATTCCAGTGTAGTTCAAATAATACTGAATGAAATATATAGAGAATTGTTGTACCTGTAATCAGCCGGATGCTTAGGCCATAAATCAACAAAATCCTCGAAAGGATAGGCTTGAAGCCTCAGCACATCTCTCTGGAGTAGGTCACTGCCAAGAGCACTGTGTTGAAACCTAGCTAACTTTACTGGGCTGAAAGGGTCCCTAGAACCAAGCTCCAAAATCTCCTCCTTCATAATACCGGGCAAGTCAAAGAACTTTTGGTTCACTTCTAAGGCTTCTTCAATGACTGACTTGGGTATTCCATGATTAATAACCTGGAAAGATATGTAATTCAGAGATGTGGATAAATCAAGAAAATCAAAATCAGGAAATGTTCTAACTCAAAAATATGCATGCATGTCCTGCCAAAAATAAGCATATTTGAAAGAGATTTTTACATGAAAAACGCCAGAGTTTTGGCAAGCTTCATGAATCTCCTTGATGACCAAAGATCTTTCATAAAAATCTTGGCGGCTTCGGTGGGAGAGGTCAATTATGGGCACTTTCATGGCATGAATTGGATTATGATCACTGATTGAACTCATAGTCTTTTCCTCCCAAAATTGATTAGGATTGTAATGTAGTTGTTTGCTTCAGATTTGGTAAAGGCAAAGGAAGGCAGTTGTTTGTGTTGTTTGTTGAAGGCCAACTAGTAGGATTGTTTATCTATGATTTGTAGTTGACTTCGATTATCATATAAAATGACTGCATTATTTTAGGTAGACGCTCCATCAATGTCGAAATCTGCAAGTGGAACTTCAGGATTATCTTGTTCTGTGGTCAAAGGCCCTTTTGCTTGCTTGCTAGCTACACTTGATTTTGGAGTTTCGACGTCGTCATTTACTTCTTGTTTGAGGAAGCAGTCGTTTTAGCTTAAAATACATATATATCCACGACTTGGTCATTTTGCAAATTAGCTTTATGCCAGAAAGGTTAACATGCTCAGATTCCAATTACACTTGTTCACATTGGTTGTTTTTGGCGCTTAAAGAATGATTAAGTAATGAAGTTTTATCTTTTCTATGTATGAAAAGATCACAGTTGCAGTCCTACCTTTACTTGTCCATGCAAGTCTAACCCTCATGTGGTCATCTTCTGTAAATCTATGCTTGTTTGACATGCATGAGCATGCAGACTCTTAAGGCTACAGAAGTTAGTTTCCTTTTCCATACCTTACTAAAGAGTTTCAAGGCCACAAACATATACCAAAACATGAAACGAAACCTAGTTCAAGGAGCGGTTCAATGGAATCGGCATGCACCTGATTAAATCCTACCATTAACTTCCAACTATTATTAAAGCGGGTTTAGGGTTCATGACCTTTAATTAAGTGGTGAATATCGTTTGGAAATGCAGGAATAAAAGCCATCCCTAATCCTCAATCTGCCTCTTTTAATTCCTGCTTTTTTTTTTTCTTGAAATTGTTAGATATGTATGGGTGTAATTACTTCATATACAACTGCAGTGAAAGAGCAAACGGAGCAACGGAGAAAAGATTCCTACAATAAAACCCATCGATAGAGTGGAGCAAATTGAGGAATCCATCAATCAACATTTGTATGGTGGCAAAAAAACAAAAAAAAAAAAAGCATTTGTATGGTGGTACAATATTTAGTTTTCCTGGTTATAGAGGCTTGATGTATCTAACTAGCAATAGGCTTACGGCAAATACTTTTACAGTCTTGATCTCCAGATCCACTTGTAGACCATATATTGTATGCAATAGTTACATGGGTTTTTTTTTTTCTTTAATTTGTTTCTTTTTTACATCATTATATATTAGCAATCATCACTTTTCTTACATCACCTTGTATCTTTATGCCAATATGGCTATTGCCTGTATCACATGATTTAACAGTAAATCATAAACTAAGCCTATATTATTATTTTCCATGTAACGTACGTTGTAGTATAAAATTTCCTGATGAAATCAAGATAAGACAAGGCCTGTTCTTCAAATCTCATCACAATCACGAGATTTGCGACTGTGCGTGTAATCTTATCCAAGTTTTTGTTCCAATCAAAATTCTAAACCAATACAAGCCCAGAAAGTTGATATGGAAGATACATGCAGAACAATATATATATATATAATATTTCACTTCCATGATAATTAATTGTCATGCTCCGATCTGAAATGCCTCAATCGGACGCTCTATTGCTCAAGAAAGCAGAATTTTGACAAGCTCTATTGTATCTTTTCACCCCATCTTCGTCGACCAGGTTTATTGCAGGTTCAACTACTTCATCCAAATCAAAAACTATGGAAATTGGCCGTAGAACAACGAGGTTTCAGTTTCACTACTGCCAGGTACGGTGACCTGGTGCAATAGACTCTTATACTTGCCATTGCTCAATATATATATACCTGTAGAAAATCTCCAACAAAGGCTGGAAAGGATGACGATCCTTCAACTTTAGGAACGTAGTTCCATATATATAGCAAAGTATTTCTATATGTTCCAAGAAGAAGGAGAGCAGAATATTGGTTCGTGGTATTAAGAGTTGGGCATGTATGACTTAATGATGCTCCCTCAATTATCTGGAGAGTGACCCTCTGCGTCAGCAAGGCACTTAAATTATTTTTTGGGTATAATTTTGTCAATTCGTAAAGCGTAAGACCAGCCTCACAATAACCAATAATATAGTTGATATAATTAATTTACAGTAACTAAAAATTATATCTGGAAATCAAGACTGCAAATTAGGGTTAATTGCTCTTCGCACCTCTCAAATACTTCCAAATTGTTCTTTGCACCATAAAACTTTTAGTTCCCGCAATTTACTGCTTTAAACTTCTAATTATTTGTAATCCATCACAATGAACTAAATTTGAACAAATTGTAGATTTCATCTGGCTAGTAACTAGTAAAAAGACCATTTTAACCCTACTTTTATTCCATCTCTATAGTTTCCTCCAATCCAAATCTTATTAAAAAGCTTTCATTTTCTGCTTCATTTTCAAGATGAGAGAGAGAGAGAGAGAGAGAGTTGGTAAATAGAAAAGAGATGAGCTGTTATTGAATGAGAATATAGGATTCACAATTTGGCATTTTTTTTAGTTCAAAAAGGATTTTGGAGATAGTATAAGAGCAAAGGTTGAAAAGGTCTTTTGTCAATTATTAAATGTATGAAATCTACTCTAATTTGTTGGAATTAGTTTTTAGTAGTAGATGCAAAAAATTAAAAAGTCCAAGATTGTAAATTACCAAAACATGTTTTTGGATTGTATTTTTTGAAGAGGTTTTGGGAAAAAATTACTGTAATATTTTTTAAAATGTGATGTATGTAAATTGTAAAGTAAAAAAATAGTTAAGAGATATGTCAATAGAATATTTATGAAAAATGGAAAAATTTTCTCATAAAAATTAGAAATGCAAACAAAAATATATAGTTTAGGACACAAAGTATGATTTGAAAATAGTTGAGGAGTGCAAAGTGCTATTAACACTTAAAATTAAGATTGATGTGGAGTCATGAAAAGTAAATAAAAAACAAAGCATACACACAACTATAAACATTAGACAGAATCCAACGACATACAACTTAGCACGACATACAATTTAGCAGAAGAAAATCGCAGCCACACTTTAGAAGCCATCTCGCAATACGTTTGGAGGGGCTAGTGTTGCTTGCCCTGTCTTCCTTTCTCCGCTCAAGTAGCTCGACTCCATCTTTAAGGCCGCATGAGAGAGTGAATTAAATTCAAGATAGACCATATGATCATTTGTGTAATTCAGATTTTAAGCCTATCAATGAGACGTCCAACTTCTCCAGAAAAGATATGTTTGATGAGGTCTCTTGTGCTGCATCCTTCGTATCTTTTAGGACAATCTTCACCAGTCAGTTCAGTAGCAGGCTCAACCATCTCATCCAATTCAAAATTATGAAAACTAGCTAAAGACATCCTAGTAGTGCGGGTACTTAGTGTTGCCCGGTGAAAAACGCTTTTGTATATTCCATTGCTTAATAGCTCCAGATGGTCTCCAACAAGGACTTGAAGGGACCCTTCTGAGCAAGGAAGAGCTTTCCATTTGCCATCAGCCATGTCCAGGACCTCAAGACCCGGTGAGCTTTGCCGGAGAATGATGATGATGCCATGATCGGAATGAGGAGCTGCACCTAGCTTGATGCTTGATTCTGGAGTTGGTGGTGAGTAACTGTTTGCTATAACCATGTGCATTCCTTTATCGAAATTTTCTTGAAGGTGTGTTGGACCCAAGTTCAAGCTTTCCATGATGGCTCCAAACAATGTGATGCCCAATTTTCTCACGTCCTTAGTGTACCTTCCCATTTTCTCCCTGTCAAATCATCATAGTTTCTAACCAGTTACAATGTGATATTATGTGTAAAAGGTAGTAAAAATTATCCCCACTTGGTTTAAGACTTTTGAGACTTTCAATTTCCTAATAATTGAGAAATGGGGTTCGAATAATCTCTACAATTGACCTATTGGACAGATGCCAAATGGTCACTGCCTTGAGTACTGTTTAGCAAGAGATCTTGAACTCGCATTTTTCCTCCCTATACCACACAATTCATCCCTCCCGGCCTTTCCTTTATTACACTCTTAAGGAGCCATAGGATAAGATGTCACCAATCACAGTCACTATGACTATAATTAACTAGTTAATGACAATGAATTTTTTTGTTGAAATCCATGGAGTGTTTTGGCAACTTAAATTCAGATATGGATTTTACATTTTTTTTCTTTTCCTCTACTTTTTCTTCTATTTTTTCTCCACTTTTTCCGCTTCTTTTAGCATATTTTTTTTTTATAAATTTCTTTATTTTTAATTAAAAATATGAGATACATGATAAGTAATCATTGATTAACTTCTAAAAAGTAGTTAATCATAAAACCCATAGAATAGGTCTATCATATCATTAACTCGTTCCAATTAACCTTTACCAAATTAAAAATATCACTATAATTAATTTTGAAATTCATGCCCTGGTATGAAACAACGCCTTAGTATTATACCGATGTTATAACACTATGTACAAAGATGACAGTTGTTTCTTTACTCAAATTTTATACATAGTGTTTAGCCAAAATCAACTGAAAACACTTCGATCATTACACAAATTCTCGCACCTGTAATCAGCAGGTTCGGTGGGCCAGAAATCAATGAAGTCTTCAAAAGGATTGGCATAAAGCCTCACTAAGTCCCTTTGGAGCAGGTCACTGCCCCGAGCACTGCGTTGAAAAGTAAGCAGTTTTACTGGGCTGAACATGTCCCTCGAACCAAGCTCCAATATCTCCTTTTTCATCATCTCCGGCAAGTCAAAGAAGTTTCTGTTCACTTCCATGGCGGCTTGTATGACTGCTTCGGATACCCCATGGTTAATAACCTGAACAAAAATAGTGAACTCAAAATGTAGAACATTTAATAAAGAAAAATAAGCTTAAGAGATGTCTTCTTTGTTTTGCACTTTTGCTCTTGTCTGGATAAGTGCAGCCAACAAGGGAGTAATATTCCAGTGCGAGAGATATTACCTGAAAAGCGCCCCAAGTTTGGCAAGCTTCTTGAATCTGCTTGATGACTATAGACTTCTCGTTAGAATCTTGGGTAAGGATGGAAACGTCAACCATAGGCAGTTCCATGGTTTGGATCAGGTCATGATTATTGTTGAGCTGACCATCTTTTTCAGCCATGAAGATTATCAAAATGTATCAGATATTTCGTATCGAAGATATGAAAATGCAGCTTTGCTATAACTCAGAGAAGAACAAGTACCTTGATACAAACAACGTACAGCACAGCGTAGAAGGATTTCAATTAATGACAGGTTTGGATACAGATGTCACAAAATCGGATACGGAACGGTCCCTGAACCGTCTCCTCACAAGCCTCAATAAGTGGTTGACAAAGAGCCACGCAGAGAACTGAGCCAAGAAACACAAGAGAAGCAAAAGTGTTGTCGTTCCAATTAGTAAAAACTAAAAAAATTAATTTTACTTGCCTTATCTTATAGGACTGCGTTAAACTAACGGAACTTTCAAAAATTTGAATTTTGAAATAAAAATTTGAATTTGATAGTTAGCTTCAAGTTAAAATTGGGAAAGTCATTATTCAACACAATATTGAAGAAAATAACTTTATCTTTCTAACCTGAAATTGAAAATTCAACATCATATTCACCTTCAAGGAAACTAATTTCTCTCTCTAGTTGGGGATGAGAAAATTAGTGAGAGATAACCTTCTCCCACTTTGTTGAAGTTGGAGTAGGCCTGTCAATCGGGCCTAATGAGCCGAGCTTTGATGTGTTCAAACTCAACTCATTTAATTTGAGACATTTTCGGGCTTCGGGCTATGAGTTTCGGGTTCGTAAATGTGAAGCTCATACTCAGCTCACATAATATTCGGGTTGTGAGCTTTAATCGGGCTTAGCCCAAGCTCACTTATTACTCCTGAATTTTCTTAATATAATTACTATAACTATTAAGTTGTAAAACTAATTTAACATTTACAAGACTATAATATTAAAACTAAACATGAACAAATAATAGTTCTTAAAAAGTATATAAACCAAAATTTTTTCAACAATATTTATATGTAATCCGTTTAAAATGCATGAAAAATAGTAATAAAACATGCAATCATAAGCCAATACATCTTTAAAAGTTGAAACTTTTTTTTATAATCTTGTGATTTAAATCCAAATATGCTTGATGATTTTTGTGTTTGTAGACCAAAAAAAAAAATCAACCAATAATATGCCAATACAAAAAGTTACTCAACCAATAAGAAAAATTAGAGATTTAGTTATGCATTACTAATATTGGCTCTCAAGAAAGCTCATGAAAGAGTCTTTAGATGTGTTTTTGTGTTTTGTAATTTATATATATATTTAGTATTTAGCAAAAATATATTTGGATATATAATTATACATAATATCAAAATATAAATATTATATATATGTGTAATTAAAGGGCCGGGCCTATATCGGGTATGAGCCTAATAAGGCCCAAGCTCGGCTCACATTTAATTCGGGCCTAATTTTTAGGCTCAAGCTCAGACCGGCTCACTAAATGATCGGGCTCATCGGGCTTTCTGTCGGGCCGAACGAGCCGAGCTCGGGCTGGCCCAGCCCCATTGACAGTCCTAAGTTGGAGGAGTAACATGTTGTGAGGGATATGTGCTTGATGGATAAGAGCTATTCAAACTGAAGAAGCAAGCTATAGTAGTGTTTCATCATTACAGAGGAGATTTGTTGACAATTAAGAGTAAAGAAGACAAATGTAATAGGTATTGACGCCTCGCAATTTCGATCATGAAGCAAATATTGGGTAGTATGCACCACCATCCCGGATAGCGAAGTAGGGTTGAAAAACAATAGTAGAGGTAGACGAAGGTAATTCTACTAACCCTTATCCTTAATTTTGGTTATTCATAGATCGATTGGTAACTCTTAAAATAACCAAGTCATTAGATTGATAAAGCAATTTAAGCTACACGCAACTAGGGGGAAACTATGTTATAAAGCAAGAGTTATGTATTATACAATTCTTGTGTTTGAATGACTATACAGAAAGTGAGTTAAAAGTTACAATCTATTGATATGACTGAACATGTATAAATTTTGCTACTTGTAATTGTTTTTAAAGTATGGCATAACTTTTGATAACTTGTAGGATTTTACTTAGATAAGGTGTGTGATGTGCACCTTGTTTATCAGAATGTACGGTATGTTATTCATCAATAACATTATATCAAAAGTTTTTACTAGATGGTTATTTGTTCCAATCACCTATTAAATTGACCATTAGTGCTTATGAGAATACATTAAATATTTAGTAGATAGGTAGTTTATTTCAATAAGTAGCATGTATATATATAAATACTTAATGAATGTACAATCTGGTTGAAATAAAGCACACTGTGTTACTGACCAAATACGATGCATAGAAATTATTGAACATGCACTTATTTATTCACATACATTTTGCAATTAGTCATCGCAATCATATGCATAGTGCAGTGATATGCATACATTTGAAATAGATATTAGAGTTTTGACCCACTTATGCATCTCCTTGCAGGCTGCAATGGGTGTGTAATTTTATTTGTATGACTAACACTCATTTGCCTATAAGCACTTTATACGGGATGTATGAGGTACAATCAATTTACTAAAATGTATATTATGTTAGATATTAATTACTTGACTGTGTATATCTATGAAAGGTAGTGCAATGGTACGTATAAATTTGGAATAGTTATTGGCCCTTTGATCAACTTTGGCATCTCCTTATAATGGATGTGTAATTTTACTTGTATGAGTAATACTTTTCCGTCTATGAGTATCTTACACAGAGTGATCTATAAGGTACAATCAGTTTACAAAACTGTACATTATGTTAGGTATTAATTACTCGATTATGTATATCTGTAAAAGAGAGATTAGATATAGCGCAACAAAAAATAGTTACATGAGTTGGAATGTATTCTATAAACTTTGATATAGTTGATATTAGCATTTTTCTGTAGAGTGTACATGTTGTTAGTAGGTATGGAGTAGTACTATATCTTATGTATGCTTATATGGTCATAAATTTACAGAAATTAGTCTATTGTTTGAATCTGTAATTGGTTGTTAGCCCATACACACTGTCACATACATACACATAATGTAAAAATGAATTTACTATAGAGTTGTTTATTGGTTACATAGAGTTCATATAGCCGTATAAATTGGAATCTGATTAACTATACCTTGTATGTAATTGTTAACATATTATATCTTATTGACCTTATTTTGCAGCATGTCACGGGCAAAGATAGTTTCTTTTGACAAATCAATGGATATCAATAAATGCTGGTGAAGTAAAGAAACTAGATTGGACAATTAGATAGTTCATTACGCTAGACTTGTAATACTAGTTAGAATGTACTTACATTTAATTTTTTATACATTACCACATGTTCAATCCATTTTACAATGTATTAGAGGAAAAAAAGTTAAATTACTAATTTTAGATTCTGTTTATCAGTGTTGTATATTTAGTTAGTATTTAAGTACTATTTATTGTTAATTTTTTATGGTTAGCTCAATCTATTTTATAATATATTCAAAGCAATAACTCTATTCTATCAATTAGCAATAACTCGAACCCGAGATCTCTCGTTTATTTTTTATTGTTAATTAGTAACATACCGATGTTGTACTCCATGTTGGTATTTATTGACTTTTCATTGCTAATGCCTTACAAACTATTTAGTCCATTTTATGATATGTTTAAAGAAATAAAGATTTTTGTTTCACAAATTAGTGAAAATTAGTTACATTTGGTTACTTATAAGTTACATATATATTGATTGAACAAAAATTTAACTAGTCATTTACCACTATTATGGAAGTAGTGGATTAACATTTTAGTTGTTAATATATGGCAATCTAAGAAAGTAGTAGTTACTCATGCATATTGCAATTAGTCATCACAGCCACATGCACAATGCAATGGTACACATACACTTGGAATGATTATTGGTAATTTAACCCACATGTGCATCTTCGTGCAGGCTGCAGTGAGTGTGTAATTTTATTTGTATGACTAATACTAATTTACCTATAAGCAACTTACACGAGATGATTTATGAGATACAATCAGTTTATAAAAATGTACATCATATTAGATATTAGTTACTTATCTGTGTATATCTATGAAAGGTAGTGCAATGGTACGCATAACTTTAAAATTGTTATTGGCCATTTGATTAACTTGTGCATCTCCCTATAATTGATGCATAATTATACTTGTATGAGTAGTACTAATTTGTTTGTGAGCACTTTACATGAAGTGATCTATGAGTTATAATCAGTTTATAAAAATGTATATCATGTTAGCTGTTAGTTACTTGACCATGTATATCTGTAAAAGAAAAATTAGATATAGTGCAATAAAAAGTAGTTACATGATTTAGAATGTATTTTAGAAACATTGGTGTAGTTGATATTAGCATTTTTCTGTGAAGTGTACACGTTTCCGTTTTTATCAACAAATTTGTAACACCCAATTATAGTGTCACTCGTTTCCATTTTTATCAAACCCCAAACTAAAAATCGTAGAAACGTGGTTGGAATGTCAGTTTTGACATCTTTCTATCATTTAATTACTCTTTGAACAAATATCCTTAGGTTTATTAGGTATGATGCATATAAAAATAAACCAAATGTACACTCCAGTTATGACAATATGTACAACAATTCTAATAGATATATACAATGCTCTAAACAAATTTATAAATTGAACAAAAATCTATGATGATTACGATGATATCTACAAGGATTTTTACCTATCACTACATAACATTTTATATAAATCAAAATTGAAAATTTACAAATATTATGGTAACAAAAATCTATAAAAACAAAGTAAAAGAGTTATACAATGCCGTTAATTGAGTTTCACTTGCTCAATTCTTCTTCTCAAGTTGATTTCTTTTTTTTTCTTTCTAATTATAAATAGTGGGATTGGTTCTGCAAACTCAGGAGTTCCCACTTTTCATATTTTTTCTTTTTCACATAGATTCTTCTTTGTCTTTTTCCGTGCCATCTTGTCACTGTTCATGCAAATTGTAAAGGTTATTTATTTTGTTCAATACATATCAGTTTGGCTAAGACTTCATATACTCTTATCTATGCAAATTAAAACAAGGTGAGACAAATTCAACAACTCGTAATTGCACTCAATCAAATAGTCACGTCTCACTATCCTGCCAACATACTGGTGCAACATAAAAGCATTGACAAACTTACATATTCAAGAATTTTGATGGTGCTTCAAGTTCGCTATGTAGACACCAAAATTTTACTATTTTTTATTTTCTTCATTTAATTCCAATTTTTGTTCATTTAGTTAAATTTTATTTATTTTAATTTATTTTGTTTCATTTCTATTTCTTGAGAAAAATCATTTTTTAGAAAA